CTGTGTGGGCAGTTCTGCCCCAGGACAGTGGATGAGCTCTTCAGGCTGTATAGGCAGAACTGAGATGGCTGTCAATCAAGGATCAATTATTTTAACACTGAAGATGCTCTGAAGATTTTACAGAAAGAAATGTGATAATTGGAAATTGTACCCACTGTGTTTGTATCACAGCAGATCTGGCATCATCTCTGTATCACAGATGAGCCCCAACAGAGAAAACTGCTCTTACCTCCATGCTGCTAGGTTTCATTGTTATTGATTTCAATTCAGCTGTCTTGAAAATACTCTCCCATAGCCCCTATAGAAACTGTGATAAATGTTCATACTAGCGCCTCGCAAAAAGCCTCCAAAATAATGTGAATTCCTGGTGAATCTCAAGTGTGATTGCTTTCATCCTAGGCCTGGCTCTCCAAAAGCCTCAGTCTCTTTGCACCACAGATTGCATTACTGCTTACTGTGATAAGCATTCAGAGGGCTGAGCTCCCTGTAGGAGCGGTATGGCTGCTGCACGCAGGAAAGGGAGTACCATCATTTGGCTGGCACACTATGGTTAGGGCATCCTGTGCTACAGGTGTTTCAGATCCACCCAAATCAACTTAGTGGCTGCTCTTCTCTCTGTCATAGTTACAGCTATTCTTCCCTCTCTAATAATGGAAGAGTGCCACCTGCTTCAAAAGTGATTCCTAAGGACTGATCAAAGAATATTTTTTCAACTAAGAGAAGAATGAAGTCCTACATATATGTTAATACATCCCCACTGACACAGAGTGGCTTTTTGTTGTTCTCCTCTGTCTGGAACATGAGCAATTTATAGTCTGCTGGTGCATCTAATTAGTGGATCTGATCCTTAAAGCGGTAGAAGCTTGTGATTTCAAATCCCTAATTTCCAGAAAAAAAAAAAAGGCTTTGCCAAAAACTCAGGATATGGAGAAATACATTTAAATGCCAGCGTTGGATACAGACAGAAAATAAGGGAGTGATCTGAAGCAGTTGTGTGTCTGTTGGTTCGGATTCACAGAGCGAAGGTAAACTGCCTTCAACACAGATATGTGGGAAGAACTTGGCCTCATCTAGCTCCCTCTTTGGTACTAGCCAAGATAAAAATACATCAGGATTACCAGGATCAAGAAAATAGCATATGGTGCTACCACAGAATGTAATACATTTTAAAAAACCATTATTTTTCTCTTTTTGTGCAGTTCCTCATTAAACTAGATGCCATTCATTCTCTGCCTGGATTTTTCCCACATTTTTTCCCATGAAAAGAGACGACATGCTTGAATTAATTGAATTGCTAAATGTTTTGTTCAAATAGCTGTGGCAGAAGTAACTTTTAGTAGCCAGGTGAAGTAGCCCCTTCCCCGCAGCAGTGAATGTGCATTGCTGTCAGCCCCCTGCACTGATCCAGCATCCCTCTGCTCTCAGCATTCACGTGCCATGGGAAGCTGTCACGCTTCCTATCCTCTCCCATTCTCTCCTTTCCTTTTCCTGCAGGAGCAAGATGATCTCTTTGTAATCAACAGATTGTTTTCAAATACTTTAGGAAGAGCTAGTCTGCCCAGAAGGAATGTGAAGGTAAGCCTGCTGGAAGCTGCCACTGGGTGCGCAGGCTCAGAGCCGTACCTCTCGCTGTCCTGACCTGCAGACGTTTAGCACTGTGTGCGTGGGCTGCTCCCCTTCCCACTGTTCCCATCTTAATCCCTGTGCCCTGTGCAAAAATGCAATCCTGTTGATTCTGCCGTTTCTGCCACTGCTGTCAGCCCTGAAGGTTCTGTGTGTTAGTAAATAGATAACTCATTATGACATGCGCGCGACAAGAGAAAATTGATGGTAAAGAAAAGATTTCTGTTTTGGAGAAAAACATACAAACAAAAACATGCTGTCAACACTGAGATGGGCTTATACCAAAGGCAGCACACAGCACAAGCATCAGCGCCATTCACCAAATCCCACAAATGCCACTGAACTTCCAGAAGCAGGCAGTGACAGCCATCACGGCACCACATGAGGGCTCTCCTGTTGCTCCCAGAGCCCCCATCAGTGGGCAGGGAGCGTGGGACGGCAGCAGGGTAGGCAGAGCCATCCCCAACCCGGAGAGCTTCCTTGGGGATGGGAGCTGGGTTTAGACATGTGGGCACAACTGAAGGACTGGGAGAAAGGCTGAGTGGTAGGGCCAAACAGAAAAAGGGGAAATGCCGTGCAGGTGCAGCCAGGTGTGACGGGCACTTGTGCCCAGACTCCCAGTGCAGAAAGAGAAGAGCACAGACCTTCCAAGTGCTGGCAATTCAGCTGTCACTCTTGTCTGTAATGAAGGGTGAGTTAGTGTCCCTGCCAGCCCTTTGCACTTGTGTGTTGTGTAACTTGCCCATGACGGATCTGCACCTCAACAGAGTTAAGGTCCAACCTGCTTCTTTGTGTACAGGAGAAGTCTCAGAAGTCTGAGGCTGGAACTACCTCATAATTTAAATCTCGTGAGCCTGTTTCTTTAGGGGGAATGCAATTTCTCAGGACAATGCTTTCTTATGCATTTTCAAAACAAAATGTAAAATTCTGGATGGGTGCCAGAGCTGTGCAAGTCGTGCTGAGATTGTATTGGGCATAGAGCCCTCACTTAAAAGCTGATCTGCCTTCCTCCACCAAAGGGGAGGAGAGCTTTATTTTTTTGGCTCAAGAAACCTGACACCAGTTAAGACAACACACTTCTTACACAAGGCTGCAGCCGCTAGCAAATGGATGCATATTCATATGACAGGATATGCTCGGTAGCCCCGGGAAACCAAGATTTGAAATCAATAATTTCTAGTAAATCACAAACTGACATTGGCAACATCCTAGTCTGGCTGAGTATCTGTGTCATTACAGGCACTCTTCTTTAATAAACAGAACATGGGATGTTACATGCATTGGTTTTGCATTTTCTTGGCAACAGCATAAAAGTATAATTTCTGTGCTTGATCCAAGGGATCTCTGACAAGGGAAAGGGGTAACATTTGCTTCTGTGGGTTTTATGGTTTTAAATCTCAGGGCCAATTCTGCCATCAGGTAGTTTATGAATATTCATGTAGATTGTTTTGAGTTGAAGAATATCTAACTTTGCCATGTATCTGGCATGGAAAGAATAGTTGACAGTCAAGTAGTCAAGAGACTACTTTAAAATGTAGCACCAGCTCTAGTGAAGAGAGGAGCTTTCTGGGAATGAAAATGAAGGAAGAAAGGTGAATATTTATTTCCTGAGGGAAGGAAGATGATGTGATCCTGCCTTCTAAAAACAGCGAATATAGAACAATTTTAGATTTAGATATTTGAATCAATTGGAGCCTATTGCATCAGGTATGGACCAGAATCTCCTCTTCTTCATTAGGAGCTGAGTGAGATCTGTATGTCTCTGATCACTGCGTGTGTAGGAGCTGTGCGATCTAGCAGTTAGGCAATGGTGAATCTAGAATTACTGCTACACCTTTTTTACATTATTGCATCTTTTTGGTGATGCCTTACTTTCAGGAGGGTACAGGAGTCAAACAGAGGTGTCCCACAGTACAGGCCCATTGCTAACATGGAAACCTGTCAAATGCCACCTGCCCACGTTAGCTCAGCAGGCCAGCACCACCAGCCCCTGCCAGGCATCGTGGGATGCCTGCACAGGCCAGAGCCCGGGAAATGCCATCAATTAGCAGAAGTTTTCAATCCACTGTTGCTGTCATATTATTGTCCCTTCTATCAGCCTCTATGTTTTTTAACAGAAGAATGTTATTAGCTGTGAGAGGATTAGAAATGAGATGACGGTGAGTCCTGTGCAAAGCATATTTCGACCTTGAAGAAGGCACACGGGATATTTGATATTTTCCTAGCACTGCTTCCTAGCCTCTGTTCTGGTGGTGATCCGCACTCCAAGCGCTTTGTGACTTTGTATGGCCCGCAAGTAAGCAGAGATGCAGGGAGTCAGAACTCTGCAGAGCTAAACCTGCAGGCCAGAGTTCACTCCAATGAAAATGAAAGGGCTGGATGACATCAGCAGACTTGTGTTTACCCAAGAAGACCTCAGGTAGTGATCTCAAGTGTGGGTTGTCAGTATGGCTGTAGGATTTTGCCTCATGAAAGCAAGTGCAAGTCACACCAGTGCTGATGTGCAGACATATCTGTGTGCTTACCTAAGCACTCAAGTAATCCCTTCCATTTCCGAGAGTCATAAACAGTGTTAAGCATGTGTTTAAGTGTATTTTTGAGCTCTGCAAATAATCGATTTCGGTATTTAAAATATAAGTCCAAAGCAGATCAATTTGGAACAAGCATTTGGCAAGCCAGCATACATTAGCAGCATGGCCTTAACCTGTACTTCAGTAGGAGCTGATACTTGATGCTATGTAACTTTTTACAAAAGCACAGAGAAATGACCAATGGTGTTTTCAATTCCTAACTGCTATGCACAGAGATTCTGGTTAGAGCTCTATTTTCCAAGCAGGAGACAAATTCAGCACTCACTTTGATTTATATAACTTCCTAAACTAGTTCACTGACATGTTAGCATGTCAGTCCTTACTTTGGTGATTTCACCCGTATGTTCTTCCATGGGCACTCATGGAAATAATGATCTACCAAAGCCAAAGTAGCCTTCATCAGCTGCATTCTTCTTTTGTGTCCAAATCAGTGGAAGGCCACATTGAAACTAGTCAACTGCACATAAATGAAAGATTTTTCCTTGGAGCTTCTTGTTTTTCTAAAGGCAATGTTTCTTAAAAAAAAATATTAGAATCCTATTTGTTCTGAAACACTCATCTGTGGTAAAAATCTCCCCAGTTTCATAGAATCATAATCATAGAATGGTTTGGGTTGGAAGAGACCTTTAAGATCACCTAGTTCCAACCCTCTGCTATAGGCAAGGACACCTCCCACTGCAGCAGGCTGCTCACAGCCCCATCCAGCCTGGCCTTGAATGCTTCCAGGGATGGGGCATCCACAGCCTTGCTTGGCAGTTTCATTAAGTGCCTTTTGAAAATTATATCCAGAAGAAAATTACTCTGCTGTGTACCTTTCATCTGATGTAGAATGGGAGTTCTTGTGTTCTTGTTTGTGTTATGCTGGCTTGTGATTGTGCCACACTTGTACTCTTCATTCCTTACAAACAAACACAGTTGGCTGTGTGTGTTTTTTTCTGTAATCTTCTACCAGAGGAATATCTTCAGTTTTTGGTTGTTTTTTTTTTTACATTCTTCCTATGTTCAGCCTAATAATTATCTTTACTCTGGAATGGAGCAAATCTAATTCATACACAGAATCATAGAATCTTGTAATCTTTTGAGTTGGGGGAGGTCTGCAGGATTACTGAACCCAACTCCTGACTCCACACAGCACCACCCCAGCTCTCTCCCTTGAATTTTGCCTCTCATTCTCACATGCTTTGTATTTTGGGCAGAATTAGGACAACCTCTTGTCTCAGCTGGTGAAGAGCTGTGTATTTATCTTGCAGTCCATGCAATTTCACTCCCCAGGAGCTTTACTTTGAGTTTTAGCTCCCAGTAAACATACACTCAAAGTGTTTTTCAGACAAGCCATTGATTTTACTCAATTTCTGGTCAAAAGCATGCAAGTAGCAAGCTTTACATGATTTCCATCCATCTCCTTTTGGATCACCGAGAAATTCATGAATCCTTGAGTGAATCTGTGACCAGCCCTTGCACTGCTCAGTTGCTGCTCCCTTTGGTGTACAAGACAAGCAGTGGGGCAGCCCCTGCCCACTGTAATTCCCCATCTGTGCTGATTCCAGGAGTGCCTGGACGAGTCCCACAGCATGGCCACCCAGGGGCTCGGTTTGGGCCTGTGCTTAGCCTGCACTGCCCTGCAGGATGCAAACTTCTCCCTTCACCTTGGCCTCGTCTCAGCCCATCCCAACTGTCCTGGGGCCTCTCTCGGAGCAAGCATGGCACACGCAGTTATTTAGCATCTCACAGTAACAGTTCTCCTTAAGTAGGTTAAAAGACCAGTTTTCCCAAAGCAGTAGAGTACTGGACAAGGATTAGTCACATTTGTATGTTTCAGAAAAGACTGTTCAGCACACTCCTCCCATCAGGGTTAGTCTTCAGGTGCACTTTGCAGCTCTCAGGCTCTGGCTTTTGAGTGAGACGTCTCAAACTGGGAAATAAATGTCTCCACTTGAAATGAGCAGAGCAAATGATGTTTTTCCGTGAATATTAAAGCTGCGGGCTGAGGAAAGGCCCCATATCAATTCCATTCTCACCCAAGTGTTCAGGGTCTCAATTCATCTCCCACCTTCCCAGTGAGGACACAAGCCACCATCTGACAAGCAGATCCCCAGACAACTGAATTAAGACAGCAACATGATGCACAGCCCAGGTTCATACAGCTGAGTAACCCCACTCATGTTGCTTCCTTCTGGGGAAGCCCTTTGGCTGAGCTTTACAAGGCAGACCATGCAAATTACAGTCCTTACGATTCAGGAACTTCAGGTGACTGGGAAGAGTCATGAGTGACGTGGTTTTCCAAAGCTTCCAGACAGATGATGAGTGTGCGTTGCAGGTCCTGTGTGGAAGTATGGCACGGATCTGCCACGCATTTGTCCTCTGCACACAGTGTGCTCGATGAGCACAGCCTACCCTGCCAGCAAACACAGGAATCCTGGCATCCACACCTTTATACACGAGCTAAAGGTGTGAGCAAAGGTGCAAGCAGATGTATCCCTGTTGATGAGCTGATATTGCTGATATTTGTTAGCTCAGGGTTGTTATGAAACATGAAAAGATGAGCTTGGTCTACAAGCCAGGTGCAAGCTGAAGATCATGCTGGATGGAAATCTTTCAGAAAAGTGAGGCTGGATCCTGGCTCCAATAGTATGCATTTGGGCATAGTCAGTGGGTTTTATTAAAATAAGTTCTTAACTTTGTAGACTATAATTTTCTACAGCTCTGTTTTATGGCTGGTACAAATCAGCCATTTCATTAGCAGGGGTGCAACATCTCCATGTCTCATCTGCTGTCAGCGTACTGGGACAGGGCTTCCAGACCTCCGGGACAGTGGGACAGGAGGGACAGACTTAGGAAGGTACTGAAATTATGCCAATTATGCATGGACTCAACTGCCCTCCTGACTGGCTGCAGTTTGCTGGAGAGGTGTGGGTGGGCTCTCAGCTTGCAGCTGGTGGTCTGTCAGAACGAACAGTGCAAGGTTGCACTGCTAACCAGTGTGTTTGCAGGCAGAGAGGTGAGTGGCAGCTCTGTTTGGATTTGTACCTGTCCAGAAATATGTGCATAGCACAAAGCAGGGAATGAAACAACTCTGCTGCTTCCTTCTTGCTAACCTGGGTTCACCTGTGAGAGGTGAGTTTAACCCTTTTATGACTGTTCAGAGTGCAGAATATTGTATAGTCACGGCATGAAAACAGGAGATCACACTTTTGCTCCTTGTGCCCATGGCATCTTTTCAGTGATTTGTACACTCAGATTTGGGGGAGGGGGTGCAGGGAAATAATTCAATCCATGGACACTGTTTTCTGGAGCTAGCCTACTTCTGCATTACATGAAATTGACGCCTTGCAAAGTAGGCTCTAAAGTTGCTCAGCAGCATTTTGCATCTTAAAACGCTGTCCACGGACTGCTGAATTCTTGCCTTTATGTACATGAAAAAGAAATTGCCTTGGATCTTTGAGGTTTCCAGCTTTTGAAGAGAGGAAAGTGCTGCTTCCCCTTTAAGCCCGGAGCGGTGTGTGTGTGAGAGTGTGTGTGAGTGTGTGTGTGTCTCCTCCTCTTTGAGTGACACAGCACTTAGATATGCCTATCAGTAACTTAAACCCCACAAACTCCACCTTCTAAGTGAGGAAGCTGTGGGTTGATGGAAATGTAGCGAGCAGATTGAGACAGACAGTGAATCATTAGCAAACTGCAACGCCAGGATGAACTTGTCTGGAACCTAAAAGGAGAAAACAGTCTCCGAATCCTCCGCGGTGCCGGGCTTTGCTAAATACAGCCAAAGTGGATCTAAAAGCTGGTTGATCCCCACTCCAAGATGCTGCTGGTTTCCCAGCGGGTAGAAGCACCACGTATGGAGCCGCATATTCCGGTAAGCAGCGTTTGAAATCGATACGGCCGAGGAAGTCGGAGTTGCGCTGAAGGAGCTGGGCACCCCGCGGGCCGAGCCGGGCGGGCAGGGAAAGTTTTCGAGGGCGCTTCGGGGCAGTTGCCGGCGGCGGAGCGGAGCCCGAGAACTTGGCCGAGGATTCCGCCGCGCTCCGGGGGAGCTGCCGGGCCCAGGGGCCGGGACGTGTCGGCGGGTCGGGGACCGGGGGATCCGTGTCACCGCCCGCGGGCCGGTGCACGGGACGGGGCCAAGCGGCGCCGGGCACTGCCCGGATCGCAGCTCGCGGCTGCGCTGCGTGAACGCCGGCGGATCTCCTGCACGGGCGGCCAGGGGATTCTAATTTAAACTCAGAGCAGGCAGAGGAGGGTGAAGCCGTCACCGCACGGGGACTCCTCCGGGAAGGTGTCACACGAAGGGTAAAGCGCCCGGTGCTGAGCTGCGTTTTTTTTTGTTGTTGTTTTGTTTTTTTGTTTTTTGTTTTAAGAACTCCCAGTATTTGTGTTAGCAGCGGCGTTCCCGGTTCTTTTGGGAGCCTGCAGCGCGCATTATATCGGCAGGATTCGGAACAAAAGGCGCAGCGGAGCCCCGCAGCAGCCTCCGGGCTCTCCCGAGCGGAGCGCACCACAGGCTGGGCGCCGGCGCGGTTGCGGGGACAGCCCCAGGTGCGGGACGCGGCGCGTGCGGCTTCCCCGGGACCGTTCGCGTGCGGAGACCCAACCGCGTGCTGCTGCCCTGCGCCTCCGGCTGCCGCGGGTTCTCATCCCGAGATGGAAAGCGCGACCGGGAGCTCCCGCAGGGAACCCGAGGCGATCCCCGGCCGGGTCCGGCGGCCCCGTGCGGCCGCGGCTGCCCTCCGCCCGCCGGCACCGAGCCGACTGACGTTCTGCCGCTGTGCGACTCGGGCCTCGGCTCGGCGGCTTTGTTCGGCCGCGGCCGGCGGGGGCTGTCACGGGGTGACACGCCGGGGCCCCGCGCGGAGCGGTCGCTCGGCGGAGGGCAGCGCTTAGCTTTCCTTCCAGGCTTCTCCGCCGCCAGCCCGAAACAAAGCGCGCCGAGGCCGCTTTTGTTTCCCGGGGGCCGGCGGCGGAGCCCCGCCGTGGGCAGGGAGCGGCGGCGGGGGCGCCGCAGAGCCGCCCGTTCGGTGCTGCCCCGGCGGCCGCGTGATGGCCGCACCGCGCCCCGTCGGAAGGCGGCGGAGCCCCGGGCGGAGCGCCACGAGGCGGTCCCGAGGCGGGGGGAAAGGGGGGTAACCTCCGCCCGCCCTCCCCTCCCCGCGCCGCGCAGCTCCGTTCCGACCCACGAGCGGCACCGAACGGCCCGTCCTCCCCGCAGCTCCCGGCCGCTGGGGCGTAGCACCCCCGTTATGTAACGCGAGCGTTCCCCCTCTCGGCCCTGTAATCCTCGGTAATGCCGAACGGCCGGGGCCTGCCCCTCCCGGAGCCCCCCCCCCCCCCCCCCCCCCCCCCCCCACAGGGCGAGCTGACGGAGATATAAAGCCGCCGACGTGAGGCTACGCCATATGGTGCCTGCGGTGGGGGGCAGCCGGGACGGCCTTCAACCTGCCGCCCCCGCCCCTGCCGTAAGCTGCCCCCCAACCCGCTCGGCCCCCTCAGCCCCCCAGCCGCGTTACCGGGTGCTGCCGGCGAGCGGGAGCAGCGCGAGGAAGTTGCACGCTGGCACCTAAAAAAGCAGCGATCTGCTCCTGGCACTGACCATTTTCAGTTCTCTCTCGCTGCCATATGTTTGGAGAGGAGGGGAGAAAAAAAAGAAAAGGAAAAAAAAGCAATTTGGGAAAGATGCTCTCAGCTTAGAGGGAGGAGGTGGGCTGAGGGAGCGCGATACAAGGAAATTCCATGTTAGGAAAGCATTAGCAAGGGGTGACTTCTAATGTTTTCCTGCCACTGACGTTGACAGTGACACACATGTGTGGGCTGAAATTGGAACGTCACTGAGTTTTTAAACTGAACCAGGAAATAGTCTGTTGCTCAGGGATAGAAAACAAATAGTGTGCATTGTAAGGCAGGTAACAGGCGCTCTGCTGCTCCTCTCCAGTGTGTGAAAAGCTGCTTACTGCTTGGAACCCAGCGGCCCCAGTGGAACTTAGCATCTTGTTTTCAGAGTTTGTCTTTTTTTTTTTTTTTTTTTTAACTCGAGGTTTTCCATCTCTGTTTTTAATCCTTTTAACTAAAACTTCACAATCGGAAAAGCAAATATTGACAGGGCTTCACTTGTAACTGCATGGTTGGAACCTGCAAAGACTCCTAGACTTTTTTAAAGCTTACATAGTTGTTAAAGGATCTGGGGGGAGATTAGTAGTTACAGGAGACAGTTGTATATATTAACTCTCTTGTATGGCCTCCTGCTCCACAGGTGGAAGTGTTTTATGAATGCGGTGTGTTGCTGGACTGAGTTTTAATTTTTGCTCCGATCTCATTTCTACCATCATGACGTGGTAGCTTGCAAGGGGTTTGAATGGGTTTAGGGAGCTGTTGTGTCAGATGCCTTCTGAACAGATGTGAGATTGACTGTGAGAGCTCCCGACCCAGGTACCTGTCAGCACCGCTGCCCCACCGTGCTGGGAGAAGGGCAGGAGGCAACCCAAGGCCAGGGACAATGTTGAGAGGGGTCCCCAGCCATCCCGTATTTGATGTGCTCACTGCTTCCTGGTCATTTAATCAATAAATGTGCTTGCTGATTCCATGGAAGTAGCCTTAAAATAACTTTTATGAGCATGTGGCCATGGGAAGGTGAAGTAAATCTTGCAAAAGCCATAACGAATGGACTTGCCCAAACGGGGTTGTCAGGGCCTCTAACTAGGAGGGAAGGCAGGATCCCCAGGTTTCACTGTTCCCTTGTGCCTGCTGTTTCTGTGTTGTCAGCATTTTTCAGCGTTCAGGAGAAGGTGATTATAAGTTACGATTCACTGGTAATTGATGTGGTCTCCAAATAAAGATAGTTAAATCAGTTTAAATGCTGCCAGCGCCTCTCCAAGGAGCCCTCTCTGTATCTGACACATTTGCCATTCACTTCTTTAAGGAACAATTAATACTGTACATTGCTATTTTTTCCTGTATGGGAAGACCACCAGTTAAGTCACTGTAAAAGCTTTCTACATGACATTCCAGTTTGACTTGGTATTAAAGAAAAAAAAAAAATAGTATTTCAAACTGAAGAAAGCAGAAGACACACCAAGGCTTCACGTTGAACTGTTTTATATCAATATTGATTTTTTTTTAAGGGAGTTTGTGTTATGAAGAGGGAGCTTTTATCCCCCTGAGCTCTTTGGCAATTATCTTCCTGCCATAAATGTTGATACGCACATAATGGATGTAACTAAAAAATCTCCTTATCCCAGCAGAAAAGGCTGACTGTTTGTTGGAGCAGAGAGAATGCTGAGAGTGTGAATAGACAAACCCATATGTCGCTGGTGAGAGAGATAAATGATGGACGAACGGGAGTTGGTTACTATGGATCAGCACAATAAACCAATTCCCATCATACACCTCTCTTAATAATATACCGGTTTCAATGCCATTGATGGGTAACCTAGGTAGCACCAGTCAACTGTAAGTTTTTCAACTGTTCTTTTATACAGCTCAAAGCAGAGTTGGGGCTGCTCTAATTTTTTCAGATGTTGGGTGCTACAGTTGTGCTGAACTTCCACCCTTGCTGGTAATTTTGAAGGGGGACTTCAGAGCATGGTTCTGAAATGCCAAACGTGTGCAGTGCTTGTGTACACATAACAAGTTTGGTTTTCTTTCACCCGTAAAAGGTGATTGCTTAAAAATATGTCAAGAAAGTGTTTAGGCATTTAGTAGTGCCGTCATTAACGTTAATGATTGTAAGGGACTTTGGAAGATACTGGAATATTGTTTTAAGTGAAAATAGCAAAAGCATTTTTAATAAGATGAACACACCTGCAGAACAGGCAGAGATCAATAACATGGTTTCTACTTTCCATGACCCATTTCAGGGCTGCCAGCAGCTCAAAGGGAAACTTTGCAGAGCTCTCTGTGCTGCCATCACAGCCTCCTTCCTGCAATCTTTATTATTATTGCCAGCACTTTGCACAGAATTGACGTCTTTGTCAGTTAAAGGTTTTACTTTATATCCTTCTCTTCTGCTATCTTTCCTTGCAGTTTGCAATGGCCTGGGCTGCTAACTCTATTCAAAATGAAAATGCATCTCAGTGACAACTGAGGGCCCAGTAAGCAGGGCCCTGTGACTCCATCACCTCCCAGGCTCCAGTTGTGCTACATGGAGTGATGCAATCAGAGAGGGGATAAATAGCAAATGCAAATGTGCTATGAAGAGTCTTAATTCCTCTTGGGAAGCCTCCTTGCTGATAATAATTTTCTTGTTTTAAATGGAAGAAAATGTGTTGCTAAGTGGTTACTTGCCTTCAAGAGGCAAATGCTCATTTTGTGCACGTTTACATGCCGAGTCCCAGAAGCTGCTGGTGGAGCTTGGCTTGGTGTGCAGCTCGGATGCTCCAGCATGTGCTCATCAGGAGGCGCAGGGGACAGGGCCCAGCACAGTGCAGTGGAACTTACCATTGGGTGACACTCAGATTTGAACCCGGAATTATGGACTTTGAATAGGGGAGTGGGGTTGTTTTGTGCTCCCCACCCCGCTCGGTCTTGCCTACTGAAGGAAATGAGCAAGAAATGGAGCAGGATGAGGGAAGGTGCCATTGTAGGCTGCATTTATAGTGGATCCTTTCCTCCTATGAGGCTGTACCCAAAGGGTAAAGTGGGGGAGGGAGCTGCAGGCTCCTCCCCTCCCTGGCCCAGCTGGCAGGTGGCATAGGATGCCAGGGCCTGTCCTTGGGGCTGGTGGTGTGCCCAGCGAGGGATGTGGGGTTTGGGCCGTTCCTCCCAGTGCTGCTGCTGTGGTGCCATAAGGCATCGGTGCACGCTGACCTGGTTTGAGACTGCATCTCCAGCAGGGTGCCGGGCTGGCTGGAGTTGCTCCTTGCAGGT